AGAGAAACCAGTCAGATGCCACCTTGTTGCAGTTCGGTTTGCCAAACCGAGAGCTGACGTGTCAGAACTCGAACTTGACATTTTTAATTAAAGTTGAGAAACGGTTTGTATTCAGCTCAGCTGCGCAAACAACACAAACAAAACCTGTTTCCTGTAAACGGCTCCCAGCAGAGGAGAACCAGACATCTCCATTTTGAAATAATTAACACACTTTAAACCGCATGGCTGAATGAATTCAGGGACGCACATGCAAATTCCCGCACATCCCTTGCCTGTGTGTGAGTGTGAATGAGGGTTTCTTACAGTTGGGTTTAATGGTTACCAGTGTATCAGTTAACTGTGGGATGTATAGCACTGCAGAGTTTTACTGTTTCAGTGTTTTTCTTGCAGGGAATAAAAACCAGAGATCAATAGAGATCTCCCCCAGCTAACCCTGCTCTGAGTGCCACTGATGGATAACAGATAGTGTGTGTGTGTGTCTGTGTGTGTGTGTGTGTCTGTCTGTGTGTGTGTGTCTGTGTCTCAGGCTTTTATACCAGAGATTTTCTTTCATTTCGTCTTTTTTCCTTTTGCACATTTTCCAGTATTGTTAAATTTTGTGTGTGTGTTTCAGAGAATTTGGATCAATTTGTGATCAACACTGACTTGTTAGTTTCTCTGATTTTTATTTTATATTTTTTCTTTGGATGTGTGCGCCTTTGTGCCAGATTTGCAGTGAGTCTGACAGAATTGATCTCCTTCCTATCTCTGATATCAAGATATATTTCTTATACTGATCTGAAAATGGAGGCTCAGAAACGCGTTGGGAGTCAGAGAGCGTGTTTCTTGGCAACTCGTTTCTCCCAATATGGCAAACTAACTGTCTTGTGAACTAAGAGCCAAATGCTGTGTGTGTGTGTGTGGTGGGGGGGGTGGAGTTGTGAAGGGAGAGAGGAAGGAAAAGGTTAAAAGAGGGAGAGGGTGAGAGAGAGACGGAGCTGATGAAAGAGTAATTCCAAAACATTTAAGGAAACATTTCCCTCTCAGCTACCATTTGGATGTTGTTTCTGGAACAAGGACTGCAAATGTTTTTCCTCTTTCGACCCCTCCCACTTCTTCCTGCTTTTGACTGTTCAGGAGGGGCAAAGGGACTTTGGGATTGTATTTTTTTCCCTGCTCACTGGCACAAAGCAAAACTGTAGGCTGTGTGTACATGTGTGCGTGTGTACTCAGACACATGGAATAAATGGCCTGTAGGCGGCTACAATGCCGAGATTGATCCATACTCCAGTGAGGCATCTGTGCCTCTTGACGTGTCTGTGTATTAGAGAGACCCTGGTGTTTGGCCTGAAGAAATGGAAACTGCTGACATCCTACCAGGACTTCAACAACCTTGACAGGTGGTGGTGGTGGTTGGAAATGGGGTGTGTGTGTGTGTGTGTGTGTTCATCGAGGGTGCATCTATGTTTTGCACGTCTTACACATGAGGTAATGATTAAAAAGTGGCTTAAAGGTGAGGATAATTTGTTAAAACAACATGGCTGCCACCTAGTGCGACACACATGGACACTCGCCGATGTGTTTAAAAGTGGCAGTAATTTAAAAAAAAAAAAAAAAATAGTGAAAGTGCTAGACACAATTCGGGCTTTGTGTCAAGAGTTGAACTAATGCCAAATAATTTCATCGAAACAGTGCGGTTATTCCTAAAAAGTAGGAACTGTAAAATGTCCACGTCAGGAAATGTTGCAAAATATGCTTTATGTTCATAGATGAGCAACTTTGCCTTTTTTTGATTTACAGTGGTGAATTTAGCAACAGCATTTCAGCTCACCGTTTATGTAAAGAAATATTGCAGCTAACAGTTGTTGTTGTTGTTTTTTTGTTTTTTAAAATACTGTATCAAACCTTCATTGTGTTACTGCCAATGTAGACCGAGCTTCCTCTTTATATATGAACCGGTCGCAGAGCACTGACTGTGACAATTCATCCAATTTGAGTCTACAAAACAAGATGTGGTCCTTTTTAATTTTTGTTGTTTTTGTTTTGTTTTATTCTAGCAGATCAGTTTTGAAGTTTGTAGAGGATGAATGGAAGCACCACTGTTTTAGTCAGCTGAAGGACAAAATCGCACTACTATCTTTGAAAACAACATGATCAAGATAAAATGACGCCGCTGGTTTCCATTCCAGGAATTCTCTTTTTTGTCATAAATCAAGGACACACCTTTCCAAGAAAGCAGTGACTTCCCCTCCTTAAAAGCCAAACTCATCCCTTTCTTAAACCGCGGTTTATGATTATTAGGACCTATTTTAAATTGTAAATTATGTTTGATTTACATAATTTGTGCTGTTTCCAAAGTCGATGAATAATCATGTTTTAATAATGTTAGTGTTGACCCCAAAATTGGATTTATGCATTTGGTCATAATTGAGTAAACCCAAATCAAATCAATGTCTTGGGTAAAGAGTGTAAAAGTACTCAGCATTATTTACAGCATTTCAGGCCCCTTCTGTTCATGACTTGCTGAATAAAGGCTGTGTTGTTTGAGGGCTTGACTCCACTTTACACACATGCAGCAGTTGCTCCTCTATTAGTATTTCATAAAAAAGTTGGTGGCATGTTTGCTGTAGTGTTAAACTGCAGTTGCCTTTACCATCAGTTACCATGGGGAGAGCAGGGCTTTAATCGTGAACATCACAACTTCAAGGAAAGAAAGCGCACACCTAAAATATTGTGAATTATAAACACAGTTGAAAGCAGAAGGAAAGTGAGGTTTGTGTTGTTGTTTAATATTGACATCAGTGCATAGATGATACTGCAAAACTGCACAGATGGAAAATTGTGCCATTTTCTGGGTAAAACCTCATTGCTGCTTTTCAGAGTTAACGTGTGTGTATGTGTGGGTGGGTTTGTTGTGCATGGTGTGAATTTGTAAATGCAGGTCTACGGCTGTGTGTGTGTGTGTGTGTGTGTGTGTGTGTGTACAGCTTGTGCAGTGTTTTTGAATCAAAAGCGCATTCACTGCAAACCCACACATAACTGTTTGCACATGTTGGTGATCATACGGGAAAGAGGTGCAGGGACTCTAAGCACACGTGCACACACACGTTTAAATGCGAGCGTTAATAAAAACTGTGTCTAATAAGGCAGAGTGGGGAAGAATCCACCTACACAGTGTTATCACAGTGAGAGAATAAAGGCACAGTGCATTACTTCTGTATGTGTTTGCATGCACGCCTTTGCAATAGATTGGAAAGCTGCATTTGGTATTGATTTAAAATGGTGTGTGTGTGTGTGGCTGCTGACGGACTGCAGTTTTAATGTACTGATTTAGATGCAGGGGAAACTCGGCAAGCACAGCATGTCTCTTGGATTCCCACAGGACTAATACAGAAACACACACGTTCATTCCCTCCCCCCTCCTGCCCGTATACAGGCAGCACCCTTTCCCCTACACACATGGTTAGTTTTATCAGGGTAATGGCCGTGGAGTGTGTTCAGTAATGGTTCAGGAGGGGGGGGATCTGGGGGTCCTCGGCTAAACATGAAACCTTTTCCAGCTCTTCAGAAGGTTGCGCTTGGAAGAAGCTGTAATGGTTCAAAGTTTGCCGGTGGACAGATTGCACATGTGATGAGGGTGGAGTCTTAATAAAAACGATCGATAACCGTATCGTGTTAAGATATGAAGTGATTTACGGGGATTCGCGCTCTCCATGGAACTGGATGCAGTGGTGTGTAGTGGTTGGCTTCAAGAGTGTTTCCTCTGACACCTTCTACGACCCAAACACTCTGAACATTACTTATATTGAGGTTTTATTAATAACACCTTTATAAATGTATGGGGAAAACTCTAAACATAAACTGTTATATATTATATTATGCAGCAGGCATTTTTCTGATAAACGCTCCTGTGACCTCTTGATTTATGTCAGAGTCTAATGCACAGTGGCCAGTGCAGGAATAATCTGGTCAGCTAAAAAGTCATCTTCAGCTATTTTTATTATGTTATGTCTCATAGTGAAGCGAAGATTTAAAAAAACAAAAAAGGTATACATTATCAGTTTGATTCTTTCCAACATTAGATTTTGCTGCCTTATCTTTGTAAAGTGAAGCGCTTTCAGTTTTGTGATGACACAAAATGTGACTTGTTACCAGGAACGGTACATCGGGTGCAAAGCTACAGCAAATTTAAAAGAAAATACGTCAAGAAAAACTGAATATGTGCGCTTTTTTTTCTTCTTCTATATTTGTGTTTCTGAAAACACATTTCAGGTTTCAGTAATCGTCAGCATATTTCTAAAAATATTTCACTGTTGTTATGTGTTACTACCCTTTTTAAAAAAAATATTTATAGCATTGTGTAATCAAGCTAACTGTTCATTTCCATGAATCGTTGTTGTGATTAACAGGTTGAGCTCAAGCTGTAACAAACATTTAAGGTGTTGGGTATTTTTGCAGTGTGTGTGTAATTTATATTACATATACATCTTTGGCCTAATGCTGAAATACATTTGCTTTTAATTATATTTTTTAAATAATGGAAAACATTTTGTCTGTGAGTTGTTTATAAGGTTGAGTACATTTTTACTTGGTCAGATTTGTCTCATAAAAGCTGTCAGCATGTAATCCAGAGCTCGATCTGACAGACAGTTGAGTTTGAGGTAAATCCCTGTCCCACCCTGAACAGAGACGCACTCCTCCTCGTGCCCCACATGGCTGCATTCCTCTTGTGACGATTGTGGCTTTCGGTTGGTGGTTACATTAACTTCCCTCCTTTCTGAGTGAAGTCTGTCTGTGGTCTGTCTTGTTGAAATGGAGTGCATGGCTGCTCAGTAATAATGTGATTACAGCAGACTGCTCGGGCACAGTAGCATCAGCACATATTGATTTAGCTTCCCTCGCCCAAAAACACACACAGGAAGGAATGACATCACGTACAGAATAAAAAAACATTGACTGTTTGTGTTGTTTGGCCTCGCGGTTACAAGGGTGACTGACAGTCTTCATTCTTTTTCCTATAGGCGATGCCTTCCCGGCAGGCTCCAGCCCCTTCCTGTCAGGCTATCCAGGCCCCTCCTCTCTGACCTCTGACCCTGCATACAGATCCGCAAATCCCAGCAGTCTGCAGATGGCTCAGCTGTGGGCATCGCATGCTCATGATGGTAAATCACCTACATTTGCATTTCGGCTTCTATCCTCCTTTTCTGTCCCAGTACATAATTCAAAGGAAGAGTGGCATCATATTTTCATGGCATTTTTCACAATCCTGTCCTGACCAATGCCCAGGAGGCCTGTTCCTCATTGCTTACTCCGCTGGGATCCTGTTCCATTTCTGTCTCACGGCTGGTAGCTCTGCCGCTGGCTCTGTCCTGAATGTACCTTGGTTCCTCTGTCCTCAACCAGTCCTTTACTTTCGCCTGTCATCTGTTTCTGTAATCGGTCTTCCTCTCTCTTGTTCTTTTTTGAGCCTTCTGTCCAGTACGCACTTTGTCTCTGTCGGCGTCTCTCTAGTTCTCCTGCCCTACTTTTCATACACCATCCTGCCCGAACACACTTTTAGACACACAGAGGATTGTCTCCTTGGACTCCTCGTTTCCTTAACTTGCCTGTGACTTTCCTCAAGGCTTGTTCATTAAGTGATTGAATCCCGGTCCCCTCCTCATTCCCTTGTGTCCTTTTGCAACTCCTTATCAAATCTCACTGGAGTAGGTCAGATAGGGTAGAAAACAAACCCCACAGTGCATTTCAGCAAGGTAAGAGAAGGACAAATGGATTTCATTTAAGATGCCTTTTAAAAGTGATTGCGTTGCCTGTGTGACGCACGGCTTGCTCAGTGCTTTTCAAACATTGTAAATCAAATTATGTGGTTAGTTTATTTATTTTAAGACTTTGTCTTTGTTTCTCAGTTCAGGGACTGTTGGTCAGGCACTGACATGATTGTAGCTCATAATCTGACCTTAGCTTTTTGGAGACTCTGCTTGTTTCCTTCTAATGGTCAAGTGTCATTTCCTATCAAAAACAAATGGGGAAAAAAAAGCTGTTTTTACAGTAGACTTCTTGTGCTTTTCCTTTTTCCATATGCTATTACAGTAGTGGATGCTCACATTAAACATGGCCACAGTTTAAAATAATGAGGTTGGTGTATGTGCAAGTAATCCTTGTGGGTCAAAAGCTCAGGCTTTAGACTAAACACTGTATGATGTCAGTGAGAGTGGATATGAGAGCACTAATATGGGTAGTCTTAGAGGTGCCCAGTGTGCAAATGTGAGGTAAAATGGAGCTTGCTGGCTGTATGTGAAACTCGTCCTTCAGGGTTGTGATTAGATCTCCTGTGTGGGAATAGTGCCACTAATTGCTCATTGTAAATGTCTAATTATAAATCTAAATTTAAAAGATGTAACCTGTTTCACTTTATATTCAGCCAGAGAAGGAAATATAAAGGGTGGATAAACTTTGACATTTGACTTAGGTTTGACTGGATTTAAGGTTGAAGTCTCTAAAGCTAAAAAAGCTAAACCCCCTGCTTGGTGAAGAAGACTCCTGAACAGAATCCTTCATGGGCTAAGAGAGATTCCTAATACCTGGTGGCTGGCTTTGATAGCAGCTAAAGTTACTCTAAGCTGGAGACAATTCTGGGCAGCAGCTAAGAGGCAGACTTTGGATATGCCTGGGATGCACCGTACTGCTACAGCTGAACCACAAATCAAAGCTGTTAAAGATCAAGGCTAGCTGTTAACTGTGGTTAAAGGGAGCTTTGCAAGAAACCCATCCTGCATGCTGTTACCCTCATTCCATCGTGCCTCTTATATTTCTGTCTCCCAGTGCCTTCTTCTAATGCTGACACCCCTTAACACCCACCTCCTCGGCTTCTCCGTTTCTGCATCTCAGAACGAGGGGAGACCCATTTATACCTCTGCGTTGCCGCCGTTGCTTTTTGTTTTTGGCTGGAATGGCAACTGCGTCTTTAATACTTCTTGGAATGGCTGGAGTGTGGGAACAAGGAATGCCTCACCCTCCTTTTTTTCTTCTTCTTTCTCCTCTGCTTATGGCCTAACGTGGTGACACCAGCCAGCTCAGTCCTAACACAGAAATCCAAACACAAACCTTTGTCTATATTAAGATCTGGTCTCTGAGAGCAGCAGTTGGCTGTCGGGAGACTCTTGCCCAGCAACCCAGGCTGACCCACAAACAGTGATTTGTGACATGAGGTCAGCTGTAAATGTTTTATAAAGAAAAAAAAGAAACTGAGTCACAATTGATAGTGTGGTTAAATCTCTTGGAGCTGAAGTTGATTATTTAATTCAGTGGACAAAAAGAAAACTGATCAGCCACTTAACTGAGTATCCAAATAAATACACGCACGTGTAGTTGAATTTCACCCTCTCATGTGTACGTTCTGATTTCATTTTCTCTAAAAGTCAGCAGATATTAAAGGAATCACTTTGAAAAGTTGGAGCATTAGAAAACGAAGGTATCTCCAGTCCTTATGTCAGCTGATTACTGATTATAAGTTAAGTGGATAAAATTGTAGAAACTGCTCTCATTACACAGTAACTCAATCATTACAAGTTAAACAAACACCAGTTTAAACAGTCTGAAATGTTTAAACATCAAAGCAAGAGTCATTGAATGCATGACTAAGAGGAAGAAAGAATGATGTAATGATCTGAAATGCCTCCTTGTGATTTCCTCATACATGGTATTGCTTCAGACCAGCTGACTGTAACGGCTCAGAGTCCAGGGTCCAAAACCCAAAGGTCTCAGATTTTACAATAAAATGACTTTAACTGTTAACGAATTATCAAACAGTCAAAGACTGATTATCTCCAGGTCAACTAATAGATTCAAAGTTGACTAATCAGAGCAGTCAGCATGTAAGTGTTGAGAAATTTCTACCTGATGGGTTAGAATGAGAATTTGGCCAATCATTGACCCTAAAAATCTTCATTGTAAAGAAGATAAATGCCATTACTGAACATTTAGCCGGTGCAAAGTGGAAGTGACACAACAGATAAATATCAGCATGAGTCAACAGGACTGACGTTCAGAGGATAAGCTAACAAAATTACCTTTTATATTTATACACTAATTAACTGAACTTTTCTGGTGTTTTCAGTGTCATTTCTATAACCTGCATTCTGTGTCTTCAGGCTACCCCCCTCTTCCAAGCAGCCTGTACTCCAGCCCTTACCTGGGGCACCTGGGGCACCTTGAGCCTCCCTCGCTCTCCCAGCACCCTCTCTATGATTCTCATAAAGGTCAGTATCTGTCGCCGACAACATTCACAAAGACCAGTTGCCTGAATTTATTGTACATATTCTGCCTCATCCTGTGATACATCAGCAGCAGTAGGTTTTGTGCTAAACCTTTTTATTATAGTGTGAAAGCCTATTTAGTTGTGGGCCCTGGCCAGAAATACAACACCAGATTTAGCCCTGATTCCTTTGTCATTTTCACACTATAATGTATGTCTCTTCTGTCATTCGGCTGTTGCCGATCTACTATAAGCCTGTTGCATTGTTACGTTTTCTTGGCAAGTTGACACATAAATATTTATTATTATTTTTCACCTCTGCTTGAATGCTGCAGGATGCTGCTGTACTCTGCCTTCATCATCTGTTTCATCATCTGTCAGCATGCTGTGTGGTTGTTTGTGTTGTCTGACTTGTGTGTTATGTTGTGTTTCTAGAGGGATATTACCTGCCATCCTCCCTGAGGCAGTCACCTCTCCACCCCCCGTCTGCTGCCTCCAATACCCCGTCCAGCTCCACACCCCCACAGAGGACATCCCGGGAAGGGGTGAGGGAAAGGTCTTATCGGGGAGAGAGGGATAGAGACAGGGAAAGGGAGCGGGAACGTTCAAGAGAGGAGCAGCGGCCGCAGAGCGTGGTGGACTTGACACAGGACGGGAGAGGTGAGGAGGACCGCAGGGTAGGCAGGGAACGGGAACGAGAGAAGGAAAAGGACCGGGACGCAGAAAGAGACAGAGATGGTTGGTCCTTCCATCTACACCAGCAAAAGTCACACTCCCAGCCTTCCACAGTGGAGCCCAGATCCAGGCTGTCATCTCCACAGACCTCCTTCCCTCCTGGTGGGGGTGGAGGAACAGGCAGGTTTCATGGACCAGAACCAGACAGAGGGAGTCGGGACGAGGATAGCGGCTCTCGACTCCACCATAACTCTAATGCGAATAACTCAAACCCTCATTCAGAGAGACATAGGAGGAATGACTCTGTAGCCACGTCAGCTGGAACCCTCCACATATCCTATGTCCTTCCTCCTGCTCTCCAGTCCTCAGCAGCTGGAGCACCCCACCTTTCCACAACCAGAGAGTCTGTCAGGGAGCAACGCATAAGCGCACCTACGTATGTGCCTTCTGTGGAGGTTTATGATGAGCAGGCGGGGCCGATCCAGATAGCATCACAAGCGCGCGACAACAAACACAGAGACAGAGAACGGGAGCGTGACAGAGACGTGGAGCATGAACGGGACAGAGACAGAGAGAGGGAGAGCTACAGGTTTCATGAGAAGATCCTCATGGAGCATCCTCGGCTCTCCCACTCAGGCGATTTAAGCAATCAAAGAGAGGAAGGTTCTGTGATTTGTTCCAATGGTTCCGTTGGTAAACGAAACCAGGACACATCCCTCTCCTCCATTCAATCAAGGTTCAGCCCAGAAACCAGGGACATCTCTAAACACTCAAACAGATTAGGCATAGAGCGATCTGCGGCAGAGCCCAAGTGGAATCCTATCAGTCCGGTGACCAAATACGCTACAAGTCACATGGCTGCTCTGGCAGCCCAACACACGCTTTCTTCTCCCCACAGCCAGCAGACACACACGCGAATGTCACAGTCCCCTCACACATCCCATCGACACAACAGCAACACACAATCGACCCACAGCCATTCCCCCCAAACACACTCCTCCCAGCACGGACACGGGCGTGCAAGCGAAGAGGGTAGTCAGAGACGCTACCTGGACCCATCGGCACTCTACCGACCAGGGGGTTCCAGCGGTGGAGAGCGTGGTGGGGGATTGGGTTCGGATTCTAAAGAGGTTTCGGCCATGCAGAGCCTGATCAAATACAGTGGAAACTTTGCTGCTGAAGGCCCTGGTTCCTCCAGGAACATCACGGACGGCAGAGGGCCCTTTGGTGGATTGGGGAACATTGGGATGGAAATCGAGAGGGAAAAGGAGAGGGAGAAAGAGAGAGAGCGAGAAAGGGAGAGGGATAGGATAGCAGTTGGCTCCGGTGGTTCAGGAGCATTAAGGATGCCTCAGCTGAAGAGAGAACAGGAGCGACCCGACAGTGCCCGCTCCTTTGGTCGGGAAGGTGAGGGCGAGGTGCGCCACCCTCCGGTTGGGATTGCTGTTGCTGTGGCTCGGCAGAGAGACAGCGGGGCCACCAGTAAACAGACGAGTGGGAGCTCAGACACACAGAGACCCCTGCTGCAAACCGCTATTAAAGGTCAGTACTTCTTTGGTCTTCTTCAGCTAAAAACTCCTTTTTTTTTTCCTTTTTTTTTCTTTTCCTGGTGACTGATAGACGTACAAATCTGAGTGCAAATTGCACTCAGTGTGGGTTTTAAAATACTTCCAGGAGTCACATTCACTGAACTGATAACACAATATTTTAAAGTTACTGGCAAGTTAAATCAAGTGTACTTAGAACATTGTTCAAATGTATTTGCTCGTGCTTCTGCTTTCAACTCTCCACTGTGGCTTCTCTCTGAATTGTTCTGCAGGGAACACAGATCCCTTCAGTTAAATGAACCAAGAGCAAATGATTCCTCATTTTGGTTTCTATGAATAATAGACGATTCATTTTCTCCCGCCTCAAAGTCATATTTCCTCAGCCCCCTGTTTGACACTGAGGTGTTCATGCGTGCAACATGATTTGAATGGTTAAAAACAACTTTTTTCCCCCCACAATTTGACTAATTATGTCATAGGGTTTATTTTGTTGAATGGCTCTCTGCTGGCTGCATTGCAATTCCTGCCATATTACACTCCATTCTTGGACGTCAAGGTCATTCAGCTCCAGTGCTCCCGCTCCATCTCCTTGTTTCTGTTTCTTTCTCAGCACCGTGTGTCATTGAGCTCTTTCTATCTTCCCACAGCTCGGCCTCACTCTCTCTCTTGCTCTTTTCATTGAGTTGAATATCTCTCTGCCTCCCCACCCTTCTTTCCTTTCAGAAAAGGGTTTTGTAGAGGTACTCCCCCCTTGTCCCACCTCTGGGCCCTCTACTCTTTCTCCACTCGTTCCCCCCCTCTGCATTAAACATGTCATTACAGAGCGCAGCTAAAAGCTACAAACAAGCCTTGAATTACAATAAGACCATGGCTGCGTTGCTAAGCAATGGATCAGTCTTGAGTGACTGTGTGTATATTAGGAATTGTGTGTATTTATGAGCTACTGTAGATGCACATGCAGTGCATCCCTGTTTGCGATTGGAGGGGGGGGGGAGTTAGTCATTTCCTTCCTTGAGCAGATTGATTTGCTAATAGCCTCAGTCCCTCATGCTAGGAGGAGCTCTAAATAAACAGCAGAAGAATTACACTGGAAATAGATGGATGTGTAAATGGAAGGAAGCACGAAGTGGTCTAATGATAGGAGAGACCATCTATCAATAGGTTGATGGACCGGAGGAGAAAAGTGTGTCAGGAAAGTAAGAAGAGTATGAGACAGATGGAAGCACAGCAATGAGGAATGTGGGGGAAGAAGAGGGGCACGCAGTGTTTATCCCTGATACAGAAAGGATAGCATGTGGGGCCGGCTCCTTGTAACCTTGGTAACAGTGTAGAACCCTTTCCTGTGGAGCATGTCAGGGATTGTTAAAGTCTCTTGTCCTTTTATAGGCTACACACACACACACACACACACACACACACACACACACACACACACACACACACACACACACACAC